GTGTGTATATGCGTGTGTTTGTTTGTATGCGTGTGTGTGCGTGTGTTTGTTTGTACGCATGTGTGTGTGTGTGTATGAGTGTGTGTTTGAAATATCAGTTTGAAATATCAGTTGCTTGTAGGGTTCAGGGGATCTCGTAGTCGAGCAGTCTCGACTAGAGCTTTCTTTCTTGTTTTTCTTATCTTTGAATTCCAAAATCTTAAATTATCATTTATCATACACAGCAATAATTCAAAACTGTTTACTGGGTATCACCTAGTCGTAAACATTCGTCTAGATCACTTGCTTTTGTCTTGTTTATGGTGATTAATATTATTTTGGTCAAGTGGTGAACGGGTTATCAATCACCTACAAATATTTTTAGAGCTTTACTGGGAGCAGCTTTGCAAGATGCTTAGAACGAGACGTGCCATAAGCATCTACATTGATGATGATCAGGTATCAGATATATCCATAGAATAAAGATAAATAAATATGATGATCAAGCACATTGTGTACGTCCCGTCATTAGAGAATGAGTTTTTCCTGTTCTGGGGAACTACTGGGTTTTAGTTTGCCCGACCACACGTGTTTGCATGCGCCTTAATTTGAGTTGGGAATGATTATAATTTAGCATTGCTAATCAGCTCAGCAAATCAATGGGAGAGCATTCAAACGTAAAAGGTTCTATTTACTGATTTTATAGTTTGTATGCTAATCGATTGTTTATGTAGAAAGGCAGTGAGAGGAGGATGGAACCGGCTGGTACAGATTGCAATTTTAAGACCGAGTGAATGGCTGATATAAAAGCTGTAATATTAATTAGCTAAATGACATTAATAATTAATTAATGAAAGATAATTTTTAATGTCTAACGTGAACGAAAAAGATATTCATCTATTATTATATAATTTTAAGCCAGGTTTTTTTCAATTTTTTATGATTAGTACTCTTGGGCCAAACAAGTCTTTCAACTTTACAATGTTTTATGGAGCATTTGTATTACTCAATTCCAGTGAAAACGCAGACCCGCAACTAAGTACATATTTGCCTTGGGAGCTACGCAAGACTAGATAGCTTTAACTAGTTTTTTTTTTTTTCTGTATATGACAGTTGATTACACACAGAAAAGTATTAGAGAAACAAAGTAAAGGTCAGGTGCGGCAAAGGTGGGCGGGCAACTGTCAAGAGAGCAAAGTTCAATGCGGGCAAAAAGAGTTAAGAGTAAGAAAAGTCCAAGTCAGATTTTGTGCAGTGTAAACTAATACGTGAGGTCTTTAGCATCACATCTGAGCGTGACTTATTCCCATAAAAAATATATATAGTCGGAGTAGATTATAAGACTATGTTTTAATTTTATTTATTTATTTTTTTAAATAATTATAATTAAATACATTAATCTTCTCTTAAAAAATAGGTACAGTCAACTGAATGTATTTTGACCTGTTGCATAGGAAAACAAGGCAGTTCAATTATATATATAATATATTAATCTAAATTGTGTGAAATGTGCCAAAATATTGTTCCATTTCATAGTGTCGCAAAGGGTAAAGTAAATATCATGTGTAAAGAGACCACATCAACTCTTGCCCCCAACCATATATCATTCTATTCTCATATATAGCCGGAGGCTGTCTCTGGCTCTGGCTGGCTTTTTAATTTATTGCTGCCCGCGAGCCAAAATTCGGTTGGGCAACTTGACTTGTTGATGAAATTGCGCTGCGGGTAGAAATGGAGCATTGGCCATCTGATAAAACCAGCAGCTAAATTCTCCAAAATGCAAATTTAATTTCGCAATTATCTGCTTGAAATATTCCAATTGGCCAAGTACTTTCAGAGTCACGCTCACACAGCCAAACAAAACAGACAATTAAATAAACAGTGCAGCTTCACTAAAAATTATATTTATTTTTATAATTTTATTTGATTTTTTATTGATTTTTTATGTTTATATTTATTTAAGATATTTTTATCTAAAATATTTCAGTTTATTTTAAATTTATATATTTAAATTTAAATTCATTTGAAAGCCTCTTTTGTTAATTTTAAAAGTGGTTTTTCCTGTCCATCTTATTATTTTTTATTTATTTTATATGTTTATATTTATTTTTATCTAAAATTTTTAAATTTATTTTTTATTTATATATTTAAATTTAAATTCATTTGAAAGCCCCTTTTGTTAATTTTAAAAGGGGTTTTTCGTGTCCATCATAGCACAGCTTGACTGTAGTTAGTTTAGAGTGTTTAGCTTGCGCTTTAGCCGCACAATGTATACAATTAAATGACGTATAAAACCAAAAAAAAAAACATACCGATAATAACTTCCACTCAGAACTCACTTAAAATGGGAATTGCACAATTTTTGTGGCCCGTGAAATTAATTTAACAAAATCCAATAGAGCTAAAAATCACTATAATTATTTGAGAGCAAACAAAAAAATCTTCTAGTCATATTTATATATATATTACTTATATATATTACTTACTATATACTTAGTTTATTTTTGCTTAAATTTATTATTATTAATGAATAGGTTACATATTACTGGCCATTATATTGTTGGCCCTAATTAATATAAATTATTTAACTGCAATTGGGAATGTTCTAATTGCCGAGCAGAATGCGCTTGGAGCAGCAGCGAGCGCTTTAATTACAACTCATTTGCTTTGCTTTTGAGTACATTCGGCTGGAGGCAATCTAAAATTGCATTTTAATTAAAACGCACACCGCATAGTTTTCATAGTTTCCATAATGAAATGCTGCTGCATTCAGTAAATAGATAAATGCAATCCCCTGGGTCGGCTGGCTACTAATCGAGTGCCCACGAAGCGCTCTGACTTCATGCGAGATTCAGCTGTAAGTTTCACTTGTCGAGAGTGGGTTAAGAGGGCAGCGAAGTTAACGGCTCTATAAACCCTAAAAAATACCTTAACTAACGAAGTTATGCATAGCTAGTAGTTGCGTATTCCCAATCTAGTTAAATATTTTATTGTGCGTTTCGCAGCAGAGGTGCAATAAAACCTCAACCAAATCTGAGAGCACTCGAAATTAAAACGCAGCCACAGAGCTGGAGAGTCCTGAAAATTCCCAGCACAGCTGCATATCACATTGGCTGCCTGCTTTGGTTGCCTGCACACGGAGTGACTAAAATTTACGACCTGCACACACACATACGTGAATATATTGTGGGTGCGGGCTGTGCAGAGACAAACTCAATACCCTTTTTCGGGAAATAGGGAGCGACATCTATGGAAAAAATATGAAGAGTACAAAAAATGGAATTAAAATAAGAAATGTTTTCAATGCCAGGAAGTCACGTTTTCAGCCATTTGCTTGTCGAAATCACGAGTGGGTGGCAATTTAACTGACGCCAACTCCTGCTGGACATGACAGCTGCAGCCGGAGACGAAAAGAAAGAGAGAGAGAGAGAGTGGTAGAGGGAGAGCAGCTCATGTGGAAAAGGGGCTTGGGGGCTTTGTCTGTCTGGCTTTGTGCAGCGGCATGAATGATTACAAACTTGTTGACGAGTGCAAATTAGCTGCAAGTGGTGAAAGAGCTGCGATGGGTAAATGCGAGCTGTTGTCAGGCCAAGCCAGCTGTGCGGTCAGAAGGAATTCGAGACGAAGAGCCTGCCGAAAGAAAAATCAATAATATTTGTAAGCGAGTGGGAGAGTTGCAAAACAAAACTCAGTTAAGGGAAAGGTCTTCTATGCAGAGTGAGAAAGAGTAGGCAGGAAGGGAGGATTTATGAGCAAGGAAACGGAACTATGATTTATATTATCTAAACTAATTGAAGGATGCATAGGGTGAGGTGCTTTTACATGGCTTGCTTGCTCATATGCTTAATAAGTATATATTACTGCAAATATCTCTTAGGCTTAAGTCTTTTAAATAGGTATTTATAACTAACACATATCATATCTATATCGCCACTATATTAACCATTCCTCTGTATGCACTTATATATCAACTCTTTCTGTTTCTCATTTCCCTTAGACGGGTCTAACCCTAACGCCCGAAATGCTGCTCTCTACCTCCGAGTCATCGACGCACAGCGCCTCTGAGGTAGCGGGACGTCTGCAGGTTGATGTGCGCACCGGCTTGAAGTGGACTGAGGCGAAATATCGTGCCAAGATCATTGGGCACAATGAGCTCAATGTCATCGAGGAGGATCCCACCTGGAAGAAGTACATTGAGCAGTTCAGGAATCCTCTGATTCTGCTGCTGCTGGGCTCTGCGCTCGTCTCGGTCATTATGAAACAGTTCGACGATGCCGTCAGCATAACCATTGCCATTCTCATTGTGGTGACGGTGGCCTTCATACAGGAGTACCGCTCCGAGAAGAGTCTCGAGGAGCTGAAGAAGCTGGTGCCGCCAGAGTGCCACTGCCTGCGCGAGGGTCGCCTCGACACGTTCCTGGCTCGCGAGCTGGTGCCCGGCGATGTGGTTTACCTAAATGTGGGCGATCGGGTGCCCGCCGATGTGCGTCTCTTCGATGCCGTCGATCTCTCGATTGACGAGAGCAGCTTCACTGGCGAAACGGAGCCGGCGCGCAAGATAACCGATGTCCTGCTGAACAACACGAACGTCAAGGATCACAGCAACATGAAGAACATCGCGTTCATGGGCACCCTGGTGCGCTGTGGCAACGGCAAGGGCATCGTGGTCAGCACCGGCGAGCGCAGCGAATTCGGCGAGGTCTTCAAGATGATGCAGGCCGAGGAGGCGCCCAAGACGCCGCTGCAGAAGTCTATGGACATCCTGGGAGCCCAACTGAGCTTTTACTCGTTTCTCATCATTGGCGTCATCATGCTGCTCGGCTGGCTGCAGGGCAAGCCGCTCTCCGAGATGTTCAATATCAGCGTCTCGCTGGCCGTGGCCGCCATACCCGAGGGTCTGCCCATTGTGGTCACCGTCACCCTGGCCCTGGGCGTTATGCGCATGGCCAAGCGGAACTCGATTGTCAAGAAACTGCCGACGGTGGAGACGCTGGGCTGCGTCAATGTCATCTGCTCGGACAAGACGGGCACGTTGACCAAAAACGAAATGACCGCCACAATCATCATTACCTCCGATGGCTACATGGCGGACGTGACTGGCGCCGGCTACAACGACCAGGGCGAAATCCACATTCGGCACTGCAACAACGTAGAGATGGCCAAGACGAACATCACGAACCTCCTCGAGATTGGCGCCGTCTGCAACAATGCGTACATCCAGAACGGCACGCTCCTCGGCCAGCCGACAGAGGGCGCCCTGGTGGCGGTTGCCATGAAGAACGGCATGTATGCCACGGCCGAGAACTACGTGCGCATCCAGGAGTATCCCTTCAGCTCCGAGCAAAAGATGATGGCCGTCAAGTGCATACACAAGTACAACAACAACAAGGAGGAGATCTTTTTCGCCAAGGGCGCCCTGGAGACCCTGCTGCCCCAATGCACCAAATACCAATTTGGCACCCAGACGGTGCCGCTCACCAAACAGAACGAGGCCGAGTTCCTGGCCGAGGCCTATGAGATCGGGCGCAAGGGTCTGCGCGTGCTGGCCCTGGCCAAGGGCAAATCGATGCAGGATCTAATCTATTGCGGCCTGGTGGGCATCACCGATCCGCCGCGTCCCCTGGTCCGCGAGTCCATTGAGCTGCTGATGCAGAGCGGCGTGCGCGTCAAGATGGTCACCGGCGATGCCCAGGAGACGGCAATGGCTATCGGTGAGTTGAAGTTGCAAAGCAACAGATATATTAAATATAGCAGACGCTGTTGGTCTAGGACTCTAGGGTTACAGATTTATCATCCTGTCAATTAGCCGCTCGATTCCGCTCTCTGAACTTTAAACATTCTTCTCTCAAATTCAGTTAAAAATCGTTTATGTTGCCCGCCCCCTGCCCGCCCCTGCCTCTTCATCGTGCTCCGGCAAACTTTTTGCCTAATTCAATTCAAATGCGAGATAAGCCAAAAAATTATCCCCGCTGAGCTGTCAGATTCGCTTTCTTTCCCTGGGCCATTGCCGCAAACTTAAAACTCAATTAAAAACTCGTTTCGGTTCTGCTCATGCTTGGCCACAATTTGTTGGCTTTAAGTGAAGCACCGAAACTATGCGAATAAATTTGTCAACGCTGCGTAATTCAAAGTGCCAGCCACGCCCACAAGTGCGCCGCCCTCAACAAATCAGCACAATTTATGCGACGAGGCCTAGTGGGGCCGTGTTCCTCTCAAGACTGGACGTTGCACGAGTAGGATGTGTATGCTATGCATGTCTGGCTGAGAGTCCAAAGTCAAGGGTCACACACACACGCACGCACACACACACAATGTGAGTCAGCTATTCCGTCCAGCCGGACGGCCTAAAAGTATGCAAACAGAATTAATTAACCATGTCAGTTGAAGAGCTGCTCAAAGTTTTGAGCCGCCTGCATGCCGACTCCTGCCTACAGTCTCCTTCCCACAGTCTCCTGCCTCTAGTCTCCAGCCTCCTGCATGCCGACTCCTGCTTCCAGCTGGCAGCTCTTGGCTCTCAGCTCCGTCCCAGCGAATTTCAGTTGAAGTTTCCCAGTTTGGGATGCAATTGGGAGGCAGTTGGTTGCCTGGCTGCGCCCGCCGGGCTGCTGAGCGTATGTGACAACCGTACTGAAGCGCTTCTATTTAGTTGGCCAGGAGTGTGGCACTTGGAAGTTTGCTGCGAAAGTTGCATAACATTTTAGCCAGCAAAGTGCAAAGTGCTTGCCGGCTGCTTGCCTAAGCTGAGCTGATGACAACTGGAATGCACTTTGAGCGCAAGTTTTTCATTAACTACAAGGATCTTAAGTTTAACCATATACATACATATATAAGTGCTTAAATAGAAACCGCCAACGAGTCGTTTGAGGCATGCTGCGAAAAATGTGCAAAAACTTGAAGAATTTACACTGCAAGAAAAAATGTTGTGCAGCAAAATGAAATATGAAATGCTAGATGTATGCTCATGTATGCTAACTAGAAACTCTATTAGCAAAAGTTTTTGATACGAGACGGGATAACATCAGATATCATGTCAGCTTGTTTGAGTCTGGCTAACTGTAACTAAATTTGGCGGAGTGTAAAATGAAATGCGGCAAGGCGAGCGCAGCAAATTGGAAAAGATACCGCACAAAGCGCGCAACAAGCAAGTCGCAAAAAAATGAAAATGGAAAAAGAGATGAATCAAGGAAAATGGAAAATGGAAAATAAAAAGGGGGAAAAAAGGTACAGGAAGCTAGCACAGGTAGCGATTTTCTTTTGCTGTTGTCCTGGCGCCCGCAGGGTGTATAGACCCGACCCACATCTAATATCCTGCGACGCACAGCAGCAGCAGCAGCAGGTGCAGGAGCAGGAACAGGAGTCGGGGCACCAGAAGTATCTGAAGCATCAGCAGCCGCATCGTCGGTCGCTGAAATAATTAACTGTGGCTCCAAACGCCCCATCGTCAGCGTCAGCGTCATCGTCAGGACTCATCACCATCAACATCAGAATCACCTTTACCATCATCGTCATCATTTCGGTCCGCTGCGAGCAGGAATTCATCAACATGGACATCAACTACGACTCCACCTCCAGCTACCTGCCAACCTCTGGCTACACAAAGCTCGTCTGCATTGAAAAAACTTCAATACACTTTGCCAACAATTCGCTGATGTGCTCATGCAAGGGGTATATGGAGTTTTTCAGTTAGTTTGTAACATGATTAAGCTGCAGGCAATTGAGTTGAAGGAATTAGCAAAGAGAATCCTAAATTATGCTCAACTAGAATTTGTTGTTGATGACCTGCGGAGGCGCAGCCAACTTAACAACTTGCCTCAAGTGCAGCCAACTTAATAATGCATCAAGTGGCATATATCAAAAAATCTGAAAAATAATAGGGATTTTATATATTGCTAAATTAAAAGAGCATTTCAGCTAGTCTCATTTTGTTGGTAAACTTTTTTTTTTACTATTCCACTTTGCTCTTTTGAATAACAGCATAATTATAGAATGGACGAGTTTCAGTTGGGGCTATAAGGGGGGCAAAATAACTGAATTTGATTTAAGGCCTCTGGCTGCAGACCTGCATATTGATTGAAATTTGACGTTCAAATTGTAAATGAGTTTCCGCTCTGCTCCTGCTCCTGCCTCCCACTGCTCCCCTGTCCGCTCAGACTAGCTGCTATTATAAAGATCCCCAAAATCGGCTTATGGCATATGCTCAAACTAATTGGCCGCTAGCTGGACGCTCCTCAACTGCTGCTGTCCGCTGTCCGTTGTCCGTTCTCTGTTGTCTAGTTGCTGACCGACCGGTTGAAGTAATCCTCACTAATTTGTTGTTCACGTATGCCCGTATGTATATATATATGACTAAGTGTATGAGCCAGGACGATGACTGCATGCAGACAGCCAGGCAGACAGCCGGACAGATAGTGAAATAGATAGGTGGGCAGATAGATAGACAGACGGACAGCTGAGGCCAAGTTAATTGAGTTGGTGTATTTCATTTTCAATTTGCTTGCCAATTATGTTGCCTGTTTTGTCGTTGGCCGACTCCTGCTTTACGGCTAATTTAATTTGTGGCTTGCTCAGGTTTTGACTTTCGTTGGGCTACATCTTACCGCAATCGAAGTGTGAATTTATCATGATTTGCCCTGGAATTAATTCACTTCATATTTGAGTTCGAGTTGGCTAGAGTTGGAGTAGAACTTCATGAAGCTCCATACAACTTTTCTCTTTACACTCAGCTTTACTCAGGTAGAGTATGAGCACACTCTAACTTTAACTGGAGCTCTACTACTCTAGACTCGCTAGCTGCCTCTAAGCTCTTCTGTTTTTTATTCTCTAAACTCCTCTAAGCTTTGCCCCCATTATCTACCCTAGCTGTAGCTCATCCACTCAAACTTTTGGCGCTCACCCAATTTACACTTGATTTAATTATTTAATTGAATATATTGCTGAGCAGTGCTGAGCTCTGACTTGAGCAGAGTTCATAAAATCACATTTGCATTGCATCGAGTGCAATTGGATTATTTGATGTGTGATGCGAGCGTAGCATTGGCTGACGAAGGGCTTGCCGGCACGTCTTCTTGGTAGACAATTAGGGGAAAAGCATGTTTGAGCAGCTGCTAAGCCCCCGATCAAATCTTAATCAATGCCACATATCCGGACCCGAGTCACGCCCGCTCAGCTCTGGCTGTGAACAGCGTTTGATTCGCATCCCTCAAACTTGACACATATCCAATTAGCGAAGTGCATTTGCAAATGCAGTTCTAATCCACTGGCAGAGCACAGCATCCAGCTCCAGCGTCAGCTCCAGCGTCAGCTCCAGCTCCAACACAGACACTTTGGGGGGGTGTATTGTGCTTGCACATCAATCGCTGGTTAACAAGAAGGTGGAGCAGCAGCAGGAGCAGGAGTGGCGGAGGGCAACCTCAGCGGAAGACGTAGATAATCACACAGCGATTGCCATGGCAGCCGGAAGCATCAAGTGGGAGGAAGTCAAAAGTCATCAGCAGCAGCAGCGGCAGCGGGAGCAGCGGGAGCAGCAGCGGCGGCAGCTGTAGAGTTGAAAGAATTGTCACGTATACGAAAGTCGCTTAATAAACAAGCAGAGGGCATGGCATAGCTCCGACTTGCCTTCGATGGAGCGCATCAGGCAGCTACTCGACCGATTTAAATGCAAATGTCACAAACAGTTGGTGAGAGAGAAAGAGAGAGAGAGAGAGACAGGAGGGCAAAACTCACACACAGATAGATAAAGAGAGAGAGAGAGACAAGACACACAGAGACAAACACTAAGACATACAGGCACACACACACACACACACACACATACACACACGTAGTCAAGTCCACAATTTTCCATTACGAAATGGAAGAATTTCTCCTGCATTGAGCTTTTCTTTAGCTTTGGGTTTTCAGATGCCGATTTTGGTTTTGTTGTTCCCTGATATTTTTGCTGCTTTGATTTTGCTGCTTAAGCGGCTGCTGGCAACAGTGAGTTGCGCTTGTTGCATGCCTCGCTCAGTCGCTCGCTCGCTCGCTTCATATTTTCATAAACTTGGCCAACGTCATTTTCATGCGGCAACTTTTGCCTTTTTGGCCCACAGCTCGCTAGCAAAAGTTTCGGCTCTAATCCGCTTTTGGCCTGCGGTTTGGCTGCGACAAATTTTTTGCTATTTTATTTTATTTTATACTATTTTTTTTTAAATAAAAAACTTTACAAAGTTGCGCCTAGCAGCGGCAACAACTTTCTATGTTGCATGAAATTTTGCTCATGCACATTTTGAATGCCAGGAGGCATTTATCAAAGCCATAAACCAACTTTAAAATTTGACAAATTTTTTGATTATGTTTTGTTTTGTTGTTGGTTTGGCCTGTTTCAATATATTGACAGCTTGTTATTTGTTGTGCCCGCATCTGTTCATGTGCGATATTATTTTATTTATTTTGATTTTTCACTAATGTCTTTTTAAGGCATTTATAATGACAGGCATCTCTCTCTCTCTCTCACACTCTCTCTTTCTGGCATATTGTTTTGTGATTATTTTTAACCACATTTCACGCATAAAAAGTGATGAATGGCTTTGCCTTTTGTTGAAAATGTTGTACATGCATAATGCATGCATATTTTCGCTTTGATCAAACTCTTTCGCCAGAGCATAAAGCATGCAATATATTAAACAGCCTCTGTGACCAACTCAAAAACAAAAAAATAATAATAAAAGAAATGCATTTTCTATATACACATTTTTTTATGCAAATTGTTGTTGGGCTTAACAAAGGTCAGAGGTCGCAGTTCGCAGTTCGCATTTCGCCTTTGTCATCGGCCAGAAATTGAAAATGCATTTGTAATTGCATTTATTTGTTGTTGTTTGTTTCTTTCTGCTCGCGGATTGACAACATTTGCAGATTATGCGCAATCTTTTGTCTGTGTGCCGTTGATAGGTTTTGCGGTCAATGGCGCAAATGTGAGCAGCAGGTGAGAGAAGCTGCCGTTGCACAGGTGGGTGGGGTGTGTGTGGCGTCCTCTGATGACAAATGACACATCGATTTATGGCAATGACAACTGATTGGACATTGTACTATATATATTTATATATAGTCATAGTTCGAGGCTCTCGCTGAGAACCATAAAAATCTCCTCTATATGAATTTACATATTTTTTACGTGAATGTTGTAAAAAATGTTCAGACTATGCAAGAAAAAAATATCCGATAGGTGCTAAAACTTTACAAAAGAAAAATAAATATATATTCAAATTATGCCTCAGCCATAAGCATGACTAGCAAATACCCTGTAGCGGCAAACCTAAATGCAGCTTAACTGCAGCTTACGCTGTTTACTTTGGCAACAAAAACTCGGCTGCGCTTTATATTTTAATCCAGCCGAATTGTTGTCTTAAGCAACCCCTTCTCGAGTGCCGCATGCCTGCAGGGTATGGGCAATATGAAATTGGCGCATAAAAAATGCAGAATGAATTTGCTGGATGGCCAAGTAAACTATTTGCATGAAAACGGACGAATAGATTGGGTGGCGTTGGGGTGGTGCAGTGGTGCGGTGGGTGGCGTCATAAAATGGCAACCGCCAACTGCTTGGCGAAGAAAATTGCGCGCATTCAAGTTTTGCATTAATTTTAATTTAGAAGCGAAAGGACCCAAAGAAGATGAAACAGTTGATAGACGCTTACAGGGAGGAAAGTGGGGGGTGCAGATGAGAAGGAGGTTGGCGGAGCTAGCGCCATTTCCTTGCTGCTGCTGCTGCTGCTGTAGTAGAATGTGGCTGCAAAAGATATAGACCGGTAGCAGTAGCAATGCTGCTTTTAATTGTCTCTGGGCACCAGGACCAGAGACCAGGACACTGCAGCAGCAGCAGCAGCAGCAGCAGAGGCAGGAGCAGCAGTTGAGCTGTTGTTGGCGCTGATGAGTGTGAAGACGACGCTGAATGCGTTTTAATTACGTTCTCTTTTTTGCTCATTTTACTGCACATTTTTGCAGCATTGTGTGTGCTCGTTGTTGTTGTTGTTGTTGTTGTATATATACTTCAGTGCGCTTTCGTTTAAAATTTTATACAAACAGGACAAGGGATTGTCCTCGCACTTGCCAAGACAAATACGCGGGCGCCATAATGAAAAATGGCGATGCGACTTTTGCAAAACATCCTTTTGTTGTTCATATTACTGCTCCTGCTCCTGCTCCTGCTGCTGCTCCTACTCCTGCTGCTGCTGTTGTTGTTTTCTCTAACAGCTGCTACTCCCTGGCGTACTTCATAACTGCACAAACGGCCAAAAGGGAGACTCTAAGGGGAAATGCCAGCACAGAGGAATTGGGGATTTCCTTAACTCGCGCCGTGTCTTTTGAAGTTTTTCATCACGTTGATTCACAATTGAATTTTGAGCAGCGTCCCGCACAAATTAACAATTGTTTGTGCTTCTTTTACGTTTTTCGTTTTCTCTTGGCTTTGAATTTAAGTTTTTGCAGCATCAAACGCATTCCCAAACTCGAACTGGAACTCCAACTCCAACTCGAGCTCCAGCTCCCACGCCGTCTTCATTTTCAATTCAACTGCTCCACCCCGCTGGCTAGCCTGTTGCTCAGAGTCAATTGCTTGGAAAATGCAATGAAAAGCGATTTAGTTGCTTTGGCAAACAGAGAAGCGAAATGCCAGTTGAGCCAAGGAATTACCTGTGGAATTACACACAGAGAGAGAGAGAGGGAGAGAGAGAGTGAGAGGGAGTTTCTTTAGATCTAGTTTAGCTTTAGGCATAATAAATAAGATGATTCAGACTTTGTTTAACATTTCATCTCATTGCAGCTAGTCTCATTGGCATTGATACCATTCACCACCAGACGCTCTCCGGACAGGAAATCGATCAACTGAACGAGCATCAGCTGGACAAGGTGGCCAACAATGTCAGCGTCTTCTATCGCGTCTCGCCGCGCCACAAGCTCGAGATTGTCAAGTCGCTGCAGCGCACCGGCAATATTGTGGGCATGACCGGCGATGGCGTCAACGACGGCGTCGCTCTCAAGAAGGCGGACATTGGCATTGCAATGGGCAAGAACGGCACCGACGTGTGCAAGGAGGCCGCTGACATGATCCTGGTCAATGACGATTTTCACACAATTATGTGAGTAGATATATATGTACTGCAATAAGACAAGAGCTGAGAGTGAGTTTGAGCTAGATTAAATGTGAGTGCAAGTGAAAGAAAGTGGCTAAAACAATTTGAGCTCTTAGCATTATAGTTTCAAGCCCAATTGGCAAAAGATTCAGGTGGAATTTGCTTATCTTAATCACTTTAAATTTTAATCAAGTTGAACTCTGTTTAGCAAAGTCTTTAATGCCATTCCTCATAATCAGCTCTTGTCTGTTGCCAGTTCTCTTTGATTGAATTTGATTTACTAATCGCCTTTAATTTGCTTGCAGCGCTGCCATTGAGGAGGGCAAAGGCATCTTCTATAATATTAGGAACTTTGTACGATTTCAGTTGAGCACCTCGATTGCGGCGCTGGCATTGATCGCGCTGGCCACGTTGATGGACATTGCCAATCCACTGAACGCAATGCAGATACTCTGGATCAATATCATCATGGATGGACCGCCGGCACAGTCGCTGGGCGTGGAGCCCGTCGATCATGATGTGCTCAAGCAGAAGCCGCGCAACGTCAAGCAGCCGATGATCACCAAGTCTGTGGTGGTCAATGTGCTGCTGAGCGCCAGCATCATTGTGCTGGGCACTCTGTGGGTGTTCCAGCGCGAGATGGCCGACGGCACGCTGGGCAAGACGAAGCGGGATACGACCATGACATTCACGTGCTTTGTGTTCTTCGACATGTTCAATGCGCTCTCCTGTCGCTCGCAGACGAAGAGCGTCTTCACCATTGGGCTGACCACCAATCGGATGTTCCTGCTGGCCGTTGCCTTCTCGATCATTGGCCAAATGCTCGTCGTCTACTTTCCGCCGCTCCAAATGGTATTCCAAACGGAGGCGCTCACCGCCTACGACATACTCTTTTTGGTCACGCTCACCTCCTCTGTGCTCGTTGTCTCTGAGATAAAGAAGTGGTTCGAGCGCTCCCTGGAGCGCAAAATGTACAGCACCCGATCCGAGTTGGACTTTGTATGACAAAACGCAAGCGCTAGAGCTGAGTTGCACCCAAAAGCCGAGTAAATTAATCAATAACAAAACAAAAGAAAGAAAAAAAAAACCACAAAAAAATAGCAAAACTATGCAAAAACCAAGTGAGGAGCGTGGCAGCGTAAACGGAAGCGAACAGCGAAAGAGACCGAGCGGAATTTAGCGAGAAAAGTGTGTTTAATTTTACATTTGACTTAGTCAGCGCCAAATAAAACTACCAACCCATCCACAAATTAGCAAACAACTAAAATTTAAAAAAAAAATCAACAAATTAGAGTGAACGGTAAAAATCACACAAGAAGAAAATTACAGCCATATAAATGCAGATATAAACGAGTTCTCAATGGGAAAATTGGCATTCGTTAAAAAAATATTCGATCGATCCTGGCAAATCCAAAAGATTTCTCGTATGTAACATTTGGTAACAAAATTTCATGTTATATTTCGTGCTGCGTCTCATCAAAGTTGTTTGATTTGCATAATGTATAATTTTAATTTGATAACTTTAAAATTCCTAATTTTGTAAGTAGACGAATTCGTAGTTTGTATTTCATTTCTATAATTGAATTTTAAGTTTGCGCAACAACAAAAACATTTATTGAAGCATTGCTTCGAGTTCTTTATAAATCGAAAGCGAAAAAAAAAAAAAAACACACACACACATACACACACAAATCTCTGTATATCTCAGCGCATCCGAATTATATTTGTATTATTTATGAACTTTTCGAGTTGCAGTCCAAGTTGAAGAGCATGGCAAATCCGAAAACTGAAAGCTAAATTGAAATCTTTTCCATTTACACACGTTAGTTATTTAATTATTTTGTAATTTAAGGTCGTATCAAAGTGTTTAATATTCTGCTGGAGAGTATCTGTAAAACATTTTAATGTGATATTATTTTAAGCACATCCAAAACGAGCAATATTTCACACACACACACACACACACACACACACACACACACTTATATATATATATTATTTTAAAACATTTCAATCTTATTATGACTTGAATTTGCTCTTTAGCTAAACACAGGTATTTAAAATTTGTTTTTATTTAAATAAATATGTTTCATTCGAATCCAATCAGTTTTCTGTTTTCGTTATCAATTGATGGATGATTGATCAAACAAATAATCAATTACTTTCTATTGTCTCTCTTCCAACAGCAGCATCCCAGCAATAAGTCAATTCAATTCGATTCGATTCGGCGGCAGCTGCATTCAGTTAATTATAAACATTCCCGACAAAATGTAAAATGAAATGTGCAACAAGAGTAGCGGGGAGAACGCAAAGCGTAGCAAATGGTTTTTTTTTTTTTTAAATAATTTTGTTAATTAATTTATTCGGTAATTCGAGCAACAACAAAATCAACTCTAGCGCGTGAGGCGAAATTTATGAAGATATTGACAACAATTTTTGAGATCTGTTAAAGAGGACAATTCAAAAGAAAACAAAATAAAACAACAATTCTATTCGATATTCAAGCTCTCAACTAAGATTTGATCTTGAACGAAATTCATTTAACAAATGGAATTTATGAACAATTAACAAATAATAACAATATTGTTAGTTGCCATTATAAAGGCTATTCATAGGAACCAAGCTATTTGTTTATGAACAATATTTAGGTTAAAAGCAACAAGAAAGCAATAAATAAAACAATACCAAATTCATTTATAAACAATACTTAAAAAATACGTATATAACAAAAAATTAATATGAACAATATTAATGAGGTTCTCAATTCAAATTTCGTAGTTTCAGTTAATCAACAATAAATTCAGAATAAAGCAAAATACTTATTTAATGGTAATCAATATGCAAACAAGAAATCGAAAATCAAATACAACAAATGAATAATCGTTACTTAGTCAACTATCAAATGTAAACGAAATGTTCTTAATTACATACTTATTAATGTTCTTTAGAGCATCGAATCAATATCATGAACAGGCAATTCATATCATCACAGCTCAGCATATATGTATATACCCAGCATCCAATTGATGGGCGATATTTTGAACAGTTAGTTACACAGCGCACCGGAGCACCGTTTCTTCTACTATATATACATACATAACATATATTTGGAATCGTTTTACCAGTTAGGACGGAGGAGGAGGAGAGTAGTCGATGCATATCACACATTTGTACTTCAGGGACAGAGAGGCTGCTTGGCTACTTGGTCTTTGATCGCTCGCACTTTGAAACATCTATTTGCACTTTTCGGCAGTTTGTCGATCGAATAAACAATTTCTCGATTTAAAAAAAAAATTCGTATACTTTAATGGACCAAGCATAAATATTAATTGCAATTATTTATAACAAACGCGTATCACACACATAACACGCGAACAGCAAGCTGCACACACTCATATATCATGGCAAAGAAAACAAACACCCAAAAAAAAAAAAAGGAAAAATCTTTAAAAATACAAAAAAAAAAAAAAATGAAAAACTAATTGAATATATATACTAAATTTAATGGCATCATCCTAAAGTCTCTGAAAATCATAATCCACAAATCATACGATCCACACACAAAGTACACAAAACATCTCATCCACAATGGTAACAATAATTAGTAAATTAAGTGTATTTAATTAATTAACAATTGCATATGTGAATGTCTGAATAATAAAATGAATTAAATTATTAGTGGAATATTAGCAAACACTACTATATATACTATATGTATGTGTATTTGTATCTGTTGAAAAGGCAGAATTTAACGGATGCGAAGGCAAAATATATAATTGTCGCTTGCTAAACTAACTAAAATGGAAAATCAAATAAATATGAACTATGAATAATATTATATGAAACTATATTAAATAATACAAACTTCATCATATGCTATGTGTAAATGTCTAAAACTAACTACACAGCGAATTTCTAACCAAAGCTAATCTATTCTATCTGTTTTGGTTCCATCTTAATGTATTTCAATTAACGCTCAAAAATCTCCATGGCCTTTCGATTTCTGCTCTATCTAATAGATCCTATCTATTTGAATTAGTTAATTGACTTGCATGTCATGTACAAATCAAAGGAATTTCTATATTTTGGTTGTTTCTGAAAATTCAAAGATGATAAAAACTATAAAAAACTATGTCTAACTGTGCTATTAAATGTAAGCTTATATAATATACATAGACAAATATCCATACTAGCGCTAAAATGGAATATATACGAAAAAAACCTAATGAGAAACGTTTCCCATATTAAAAACTCTTATTTTCCTTTCTGTTTTTTAATATCTTCTCACATAAAACTATATCTCTTAACTAACGCGAAACGATCTACAAACTTAGCCTAAAAACTAAACTTCTAATTACAACAAGGAAATTTCAATTTCTCATTTTAGTTATCTTGAATTGCGCTCTACAACTAAAAACAAAAAATAAAAATAACTAAATAAATTATACAACTTACAATATACGAGTATAAAATAAATTAAACCAATATATAAGTATTTATTATGTATCACCGAAAAATAAATAAACCAAAAGCAGAATGCAAATATTTACTAATAAAACTAACTTTATGTAGTACAAACAGAAGTCTATTTATTTTCCAGTGGATTTGTATTTTTCTTTTAAAATGCATCGCCATAGAATTGAATGTCGTAGCAACCAGAGTTTGTCTGTCCTAATGCCTAGCCAGCTAGTGCCATCTAGTGGTCACTGCTGCAATTGATGAAATTAAGCTCAGAAGCAGCGCCATCTATGTGTGGTATGTAGTTTGCTTTGACTTTTGACAAACGAAATCGATCAAAGTTGGCCGTAAAATGGAATAGACATTTAGAACAAACAACACTATCGTTTAATGAAGACACATTTTCATTTTTTCAAATTTCAAGGAATCTCTTTTGTATTTTTATACATTTTCTTTAACTACATGGACGATGACGATGAAGTTCGCGACGAGCGTTACAGCTATGTCGATACGAAGCCGTCATATAGCAGCACTGTCTTAACCGGCAACTGGTTTCAGACAAGATGCCAGGAAATGCGACAGAGCAACACTGCTGTCGTGCCCTGTGTGCTGGAGGAGTGCGTTGAGCAGAAGGGATGTGAAAAGCACTTGACCACCAGCCAGGAGGCGTACTCGCTGGAGGGCATTGCCAGACTTGACGTATTGCGCACCTTTGCAGAGGCGAAATTGGATGGTTATTCCAATTTTATGGGACAGCGCTCCAACAGCAAGTTCATGGACTCGGAGAAATTCAATCGCAACTTTACGACCTACAACTACTTGCTGTACGAGCTGTGGCCCAGAGCGCTGCGGAAGACCCATTGTGAGCTGCTGGAGACGATGTCCGAGCAGGAGGCCGCCAAGAAGCTGGCGCAGACACCACCACCAGATCCACTCGACGCCTATGGTAATATAGGCTCAACGAAATTCAATCCGCATAGATTCGATGAACCATTCTGCCCAACGCCCACCACCTACAAGGATCAATTCAGGGGACGATATGGACCGCCAAACGAAAGTGCTAAAAGAAAGGATATGATTGATACACTCGGTTAACTAACTAACTAACACGACTAAATCAAATCATAGCAAATTGGGCAATGTATTAACCTTTTGATAGCAATAAACTAAAATGCTTTAATATATCTACAATATTGGCAGTTTATATGGATCTATATATCTATGAATTTTATGTTCTCCCCCCATCATATTTTTTTACTTTATTGCAAACAGATCGTATTTAGTTTTTTGTTTTGTTTTGTTTTGTTTCTTTTTTTCGTTGATGGATAATGTGGTAGTGCCGCCATATGGTAAAGAGGTGTTGGTTGGCAATTGGATAGATCGCCGCTATGCGTCCGATGAGAAGAGCAATGCCATACTGCCCGGACTCGGCACATTTGCGGGTTGTGATAGGCATCTGTCGATCAGCAAGGAGTCGTACACGGATGCCGCACAAAAGAGCCAGGATAGAATGATCTCTTTCGGAGAGATACGAAGGTCACGCATGCGCAACTTCTTCGCGGGCACCACGTCCAATGTCATCTTCATAGACGATCTAACGATGAATGACAATTTCACAACTACAAACACCTTGTTCTACGATCTGCTTCCCAGGCTGAGCCAGCAGCGGCAGCAGCGGCAGCTGAACATGCTGTTGAGCTATGGCAATCTGACCAAGACCGTGGGTATTACAAAGAATGCCCAATTTGACAGACGCCCAGAGAAAGCGCTGCGTATGCGATCGATATACGACACATCCTATAATCACTACCCAAAGACCAGGACGAATTTTCATTTATAATAGTAGAGAGTAGAGCGGACTCAGTTAATAATAAAATGGAGCTGAGAACACAGCAAAATAGGTGTGAGGCTAGGCCAAGCGGGAGCTTATGCTTCGCATCTAGCTCCACAGCTGTCTTGTTGAGTTCAAAGCTCATGTGAAATGTAATAAGGCTGGTTTGTTTCTTTTACTGCTTTGTAGGGTAAGTCGAAGCGTGAGAGTTTATCTGTCTATACACTCAGGGTGTATTGCTTTGAGAACTATGTCCACTTTCGTCTCATCGTGGCCATCCTCTCAAGCCACGCCTTCACCTTCGTCAATTTTAGATCACTTACTCTATGTGCTGCACTTTTCACTTAAACTTTTCTCCATGCTTTGCTTTACGAACTCTGTTCTCTTTTAGCACTCACTATTTCTCATTTCAATTTGAAAAACAAAATCAGTTGTTTTTTTTTTTTATATTACAAGATTCAATTTTTATTTCATTTTCCATTTTTTCTTGTATAATAATATAAGTTTTGTTTTTCGTAATTTAAGTAGTTTCTATTTTTTTATTTTGGATGCCAGAAATTCATTGAAGTTTCATTTGGTTTTTTTTTTACGATTTTTAATTGTATTTTTATATATTTTTTTGGTTGCACATGCTGTGGCAATTGTTGCTTAGCTTTTATTTTGAAATTAGTAGGTCGATTAGACGTTTACAATACTTTGCCGTGTTATATAATTCATATATATAAATATTTATATATATTTATATTTGGTTTTAATATTAATAATTATTACAAAAAGTAAAATTTGACGACATTAAACTAGACGACGTTTTGCATATGTTTTACTCGCTTAAATATTTTACTTTTGCCATGTCTTCAAGTGTGTGTATATGTGTGTATGTGTGAGACTGTGTGTGTGTGTTGTAGTTATTGTTTAATATTCATTTTTGCCTTAAAATCGTATGTTTGGAGTAAGTTTTTGGACAATTATCAACTGTCTTGAAGTTGTTGTTGCTTGCTTTGGCTGACGATTACATTATTAAAATTATGCTTAAAATCTAAACCAATGGAAAGAGTTGTGGGCGGGGCTAGTGGGCGTGTCGTGTGTGTACTAAAAAGTGTGTTGGTATTGGTGTAGCTTCAAGTCGTTTATAGGTGGTACAAATTTGCGTATATGTTGGTGTGTGTGAGTATGTGTGTGTGTGTGTGTGTTTGGGATTGGTTTCGGGTTGATAAGTAGAAATGTTTATGTTTTTGTTGTATTTAAGAAGTGTGCTGATTATATGCTCATATATATAGCTTTCGTATTTTTTCTTTTCTTTTTTTTTGGTTTTTTATGTTTTTTTTTGTTTTTGCTTACAACAATTAAAATTTTGAATTTTCATTTTGTTTTTACGTTTTTGGTATTTTTCTTTAGTATATTTCCGTTGTATTTTCCATTTTTGAGAATTTTATATATAGTTTTTACTTATTTACTTTCGTTTTGTGTAATGTTTCATTTTTTTCTTGCTTGTTTTCTAAATGTGAATTTTTCCCCATTTTCGGTTTCAAAATTTTTACTTCTTTAAATATATTTTCGTTTTGTTTTTTCACGCTTACTATAATTTAGTATTAGTTTTAATTTTAATACCTAAAGTATATTATTTTTAGTATTACTTAAATGTTGCTGAATTTATATTTTGGTTTCCGCTTTAGCATTTTTATATATTTTTTTTTCTTTTTTTTTTTTTTTGGTTTTTAAAAAATGATGCTTAAACATTTGGCTTAAATGTAAAATTTTGTTTTATTTGCTCCAAAAATGTAATTTAATGTAAATTGTAGTTGCCGTGAATGCGCAATACATATATACAAATATATATTTATATAGATGTATATATGTATTTACAATTTTGTAGTTGCCGAGAGGACGTTTCCATTTACATATGTATTAGCCGTGAGTTTTGTAAGTTTTGGAATAGGCCGAGAAAGGTTTTTGTATTTATTCGTTTTTATATTCATTTTGTTTTTCATTTACTTACTTTGCCTTCAGGTCAAGCCATCATTTTTTAATTTTTTCATCTTTTTATCATCATGAATTTACCAGTTTTTGATTGACCAAACTTTTCCTTGACGATCCTCGCATTTACTTAGGATATTCTTGCTTTCTCTCTCTTCTCTTTCATTCATTTTCATTTTCAAAAGTTTTCTTAAATTATTTTCTAAATGCAAATTGTTTTCATATATTTTTATTTTTCTTTATGCTTGCCACAAATATTTTTTAAAACTTGAGTTTCGAAACTTGCTTTGCCAGTTAGTTTTGAAATGTTCGCTTTGTTTATTTAATTTTTGGTTGTTGTTGTTGCTTGTTGTTGTAGTGGTGGTGATGGTGATGGTTGTTGTTGTAGTGGTGTGTGTGCAAAAACAAAACAAGAAGAAGGTAAAAAAAACTTCACATTTAAAATTAAACTGAAATTGGTTTAGATTCAAATGAAATTGAAAACTTAAATTGAAAATATTTGATGAATTTTTGTAGCCAGTTTTATTGCTTTTCATGTGCATTTTTTAAATTTTATTTGATTTTCCTTTAAGTTTAGTTTGTATTCCAATTGGTTTTTTCTTTTTACCAGTAAAGTGAGATTTTTTATATTGTTTTTCATTTTTTTGTTTGTCTCTTGTAATATAAAAAAAGTTTTGGTATTTTTTTTATATTTTTCTTGTTTATGTTTTTCATTTCTTTTCATATATGTTTAATTCGCTTTGTATGTGAATTAAATTAGAAATTATATAAATTCATATATAAAAAATGTTTAACAATCGTTCTTATTTTTCTTTGTTTTTATTTTATTTTTTTTTTTTAGCTATTGTTAGTTTCAGTTTCTTTAAAAAATATATGTATATAGTTTACTTTACTTTATTTTATTTTCATATTTTTTGTTTGCTTGTTGAGTTGCATATTTAACGCTTTTGATTTGCTTCAACTGATTCAGATTCCATTTGGTTTTGTTTTTGTTTTGTTTTTTTTGTAGAATACATTTGTTGTCAATTGAATTTGAATTTGTTTGGCTTCTGTCTATTGCTTGGCTATTTGTTTGTATAAAAAAGTTGCTCTCAATAAGAAAAACGTTTTGTTTATTGTACTATGGTTGCTGCTTTGCGGTATATGTTGCACTTGTTGTAGAATCTCTCTTGATTACTTTGTTCGGTTTGTTCTCTACGTTATGAGTATATAAAAACAGAAGATTTCATTGGTTTATTGTTGTTGTGGTTGTTTGTTGTTGTTGTTGTCGTTATCAGGCTATGGCTATGACTGCAACAAGTGCCGGGCTTGGCACCTGCACAGCTTGTATCACTATTGCTTTGTATTTGATTAATGGCTTTACACTGCTCAACAAATATATTATTTCTCACTTTCTGATAAAAATCAAAAAACGTTGCTTCTTGTGGTTGTTGTTGTTGTTGTTGTAGGAGAGAAAACTTAAATTAGGTTTTGTATGGGGGTTTTTTACTTTGGATATGTTGCGATTGTATTCAACTTTTGTTCTCAACTGAAAGAATCGTATTTAATTGAATGGAGCGCCTCGTTGCTGGCGCTCCAGTGTTTTGTTTTTTTTTTTTACATTTAGTTTAGAACATAAATTTTAGCTATGTATATTGTATTTGTTTTGTTTTTATATTTTATTTTTATTTTTGTTTTTGTTTTGGTATTTCCATTTTGATTTTATACAACGCGCTTGGTTTCTTGGCGGAATGGGAATAATAAATAATTGATTTACTTACTTTGGTACTATTGCAGTTTGTAATTGTTATTATCTTTACATTGAGTGTGAGTGTGTGTGAGAGTGTATGTGTGTGTATGTGATGTTTGTATGTACAGTATAATAATTAATTATATTTGCATAATAATTAGATTGTTCTCTCTTAGCTGAACTCTAAATAAAATTTGTTGCTATTGTGATCCGTCTGTTGGTTCAGCTATTTCTATTTGTTTTTGGTATTATGTGGTAGTCCCTGTCAATCGTTTATAATAATTAATTACAAACACTATTATTCAATTGTGAAACATATATATGTAGGTCTGTTCTGTAGATCTGTTCATCTTTAAATAAATGCCAACATAACAAATTGTGTTTCGGTTTCTCTCTCTCTCGTTCTCGTTCTATGGATTTCTTGGTTTCTTGGTTTTTTATTTCTTACTGCAGAACTTAACTGTGTTTTTTTCGCTTTTAACTTATTTATGTTTATTTCATTTTGTTTTTTGAATGCTTTAAGCGATCGCAAGTTTTAAAAATATTTGTTTTGCATATTTCACTTAACACTTAGTCAAATATTTTTAAGGGGTTTTCATTTTTAAGTAAATGTTACTATTATCATATATATATATATTTATGTATATATATATATTTATTTATTTTTTGTTTTTCGAGTTTTGCTATTTTTTTGTTGTGGTTGTTGTTGCTTTTCTGTTGTTGCTTTATTTAACTATTGTTAATTTTTTATTTCTATTTCATTTGCTGTTTCGGTTTCGATTTTTGTTTCTGTTTCTGTTTGTGTTTTGTAAAAAATTCTGTAAAATATTTTCGGTACTATTTCTCTTGGTTTTGTGGCTCCGCTTGTGGCTCTTGTTGCAAAAACAACAACAATTCACATCGTATAAGTATAATATCGTATAAGTTAAATAAATCATTTGATTTGCATTTGACTTTAAATTACTTGTTCTATGGGCACATTGTGTGTATTGCAAAAAGTCTCAAAATTAACTTGGCCTTGACCTCCCCCGGCAGGGCTGCGGCTGCGTTCCATTTGCTGTCTATTTATAACTGAGTTGGAGTTTTACTTGGCGTTGTCTAGGAACAAGAAATCATTTAGGTTTTAATTCATCTTTGGCAAATTCGTTGTGTAAACTCAAATGAATAATAGCAAATTTAACATTTAAGAATATTGCAGTCGGTGCCGAGCCGACTGCGCAATGCTCGTTCACGAAGGAGTTGCTCAGGTAAGAGAAATTTCTATATACTCGGATTTTGCTAGGCGATGGGCAGAGGAAATTAAGAGTCATCTATTTGATTTGGCTTGATCTTAAGATTATCG